AGGAAATCAACTCTCTGATGAATACACTGTTAGGCAGAGTGTCACAAACAACAATCGTGGTTTTTGCTGTCACTCAGGCTGACCTGATTAAACCATTATGGTGCAGGTCTGACCCTGTCACAGGGAACTCAGTGAAGAGAGAAAGACAGGTGGCAAAAATTAGGAGACCATGTAATAGGAGTGAATCCTGAGGTTCCCATTTTCAGCATCCTCTAGATACCATCTGCTATAACCACAAATAAACTGTACCCAACAAATGCTTTCAAAGGGATTATGAGTGTTCCCAGTTCCTCCCCCAGGGCTATGACTTCAACATCTTGAATATCCATATTAATAAGGATCCCTGGTTTTAATTCTACTAGACTGACCACAATATTTCCTGTTTGCAGCTCAGCTGAACACAATGGATGGGATTCAGAACTCTGATTCCCTTATAATACCATGTCTCAGGGCTTGACTGGCCCTCCCATTGAGGTCCCAGGCCATTGTGTTTCCACACTGACCAGTGAAAACCCCTTCACAGTAGAAAGACTACTCAGAAATGGTGGAAGGCAGGGAATTTGTGGCCAAGCCATGATGAAAAGCCAGCTATATTATGACCTTAAACCAATCTCTGCTGTATTGCTTCAGAACTTCATATCTTAATCACAAAAATGCCAGCTTCTATGCTGGGAAATCAGTTAATATGACTTGACATAAAAATAGCCAATATGTATTTAACACTTAACCTTTGCCAAGCACATGCTAGATTTCAAGGAAATTAACTCCTTAATCTTTATCACAATCAAGTGAAGTAGGTACTATGTCTCCATTTTACAGATGACAAAATAGAGGCTCAGAGAAGTTAAGTAACTTTTCTGAGGTCACACAGCTAGTTAGCAACAGAAAGAATACTCAAACCCAGATCAATCTGACCTCAAAACCATCCTTAGTAGATTTCTATATAAGGTTCTCTCATTTCCCTAGGCCAACCATCACTAAAGGGATATTTCTCCTGTCCTTTCATTCTTCTGGTATCAAATTAGAACTCCTGTTCTCCAGGATTCTCCTTGATCCCCCTCTTGCATTAGGCTCCCTCATGTACACCTAAGGTGTTCAGTACCTCTTCATCCAGCACTGCCTGTAACACCTAATCTTTCCCACTGGACTGTGACCTCAGGGAGGACAGGAGCCTCTAACTGTGATGTGTTCACAGTTAGAACCCTAGTGGGTAAGAGAGTGTTTTGCTCCTCATAGGCACTCAAGAGGTGTTTGTGGGACACATGGATTCATAAATAAAGATGACACTCCACTATGGTTGTGATGGTTAATTTTAATGTGTTGACTTGATTGAGCTAAGGGATGACCAGGTAGCTGATAAGTCATTATTTCTGGGAGTGTCTATGAGGGTGTTTTCAGAAAATACTGGCATTTGAATCAATAGACTAAGGAAAATCACCCTCACCAATGTGGGTGGGCAACATCCAATCCACTGAAGACCTGAATAGAACAAGAAGGCAGAAGATAGGCAAATTTGCTTTCTGCTTGTACTGGGACATCCATCTTCTCCTGCCCTTGGACATCAGTACTCCTGGTTCTCCAGGCCTTTGGACATGGACTTGAATTTACACCACTGGCCACTGGTTCTCAGGCCTTTGGGCTTAGATCAGAACTGCACTACTGGCTTTTCTGGGCCTCCAGCTTTCAGACAGCAGACCATAGGACTTCTCATCTGTCATAATCAAGTGAGCCAATTCCTTCCTATATATCTATATATGTCCTACTGGTTCTGTTTTTCTGGAGAACTCTGACTGATACAACAGTTATTTTTATGAGAGCAGAGGATCTTACTGCTTTGTCCTGGGAATCAGAGAAGCAGGTGACGCTGGGGGCGTGCTTTTAAAAATGCTGCAGATCTCCAATCACACTGATCCTTTGATTTTAAAGCAGCTCAATTTTCTTTGTGGTGTGTGAGAGACAACTATGTCTTAAATATATAACACAGCAACTACTTTTTTTAGCTCTCTCGTAGTGGCAACAGACAGAAAGAGCAATTGGTGTCTGAATGTACACCCACAAAGGTAAATCTTTAGGATTCTGAGAGTCACATATTGTCAGCAATGAGAGTTGCATTAGAGGTCAGTGCTAGCTAAAAGCATGATCTTTCCTCTTTAGGGCTAACTAGGACTAGCTACTGGATTTGAGGGGCCCAGTGAAAAATAAAAATGTGGATTTCCTTGTTCAAAAATTATTAAGAATTTCAACACAATGATAGCAGAGCATTAAACCAAGTGTGGGTCGCTGCTAGGCATGGGACTCTGTAAGACCGCACAGGTTATGTGTCCGTGAAGTCAGTCCAGCAATGGACAGTTCCAGAGCTCTAACTAAGCTCTTCACTTGTTATTTATTTTATTTTATCCTCATAACAGAAGAAGATAGTTATAGGCACTAAACATTCTAGCATTTAACAGAGAAAGGTTTTGTTCTAACTGAATGGCAGAAAGGGACTGACAATAAGACCATAAGAGGAAAAGAGAAAAAAGAGGAAGAAAAGGAACCAGAGGTACCTGTGTCACTCTGATCAATCCCAAATTAAAACTCAGCTGTACCTTTCTTCCATTTCATTTAAAAATGGATAGGGGATAGTAAATGGTTTTGTTGATGGCTGTTGTGAAACCTCCATTCTTGTCTCCTTAGTTTCAAAGAATTTAGACAAGAGACACATAGCAAAGGACAGGCAGCATAGAACAATTTATTGCAAAGAAGAAAGAGTATTCTGAAAGCTAGGTGCAGATGAGACAGTGCATCCTGAGAGAGGATTCAGGGCGGGCTGCTCATAAGGATGAGACAGCAAAGACTGGCACTAGGGAGAGTTTCTTTATGGGAGTCTTACATGATATTATGAACAATATCATAGGGAGATGTACGCACCCTGTGATAAGGGGAGTAATATTATCCTCTCCCCACCTGGATATTACGAACATTATCACAGGGGGCTATGCACCCCCTGAGATTTGGGCAGTAATATTATCTTCTCCTCCATTGGCCATTATGAAGACTATCGAAGCAGATTGTACAACTTCTGCGATATGAGGAATAACATCATTTTCTCCCCTCCTGGATATCATGAACAATATCACAGGAGTGTGTACACCCCCTGTGATATAAAAAGCAATATTAAACTCACCCCCAGAAGATTACAAACGATTTCACAGGGGGGTGTACACGCCCTGCGATATGGGGAGTAATAGTATCTTCTCCTTCTCTGGTTATTATGAACATTATCACAGAAGTCTGTACACCCCCTGTGATAGGAGGAGCAATATTATCCTCTTCCCTCCTGGATATTATGAACAATATCACGGTGGGGGCGGGTGTATATTCCTTGTGATATAAGAGTAACATCATCCTCTTTCCCCTTGGTTGACAGACAATATGTGTCAACTTGACTGGACCACAGGATGCCCAGATATCTGGTTAAACAGCATTTCTGAGTGTCTGCGAGGGCACTGAGTAAAAGTGATCACCCTCACCAATGTGGGTGGCCATCATCTTACCCATTCAGGCTCTGAATAAAACAAAATGGTAGAGGAAGGGAGGATTCACTTTCTCTCTGCTAGACTTCTTGAACTGAATCTTTGATCTTTTCCTGCCCTCGGCAATCCTGGTTTGCAGGACTTCAAACTCAGACTGGAATCTATACCACCAGCTCTGCAGTTATCAGGGCTACAAGCTACAACATGGGCTTTCTTGGTCTTCAACTTGCAGACAGCAGATTATAGTGCTTTTTGACCCCCATAATCATGTGAGCTAACAGATAGATAGATACAGATATAGGTACAGATACAGGTATCTATTCGTTCTGTTTCTCTGGAAAACCCCCACTAACACAGTGCATATAATGAAATTATTAAGACTTCCAGCCTCCTTCCTGCATTGGGTACCCCATAAAGGCTGTATATTCTTAAAGCAAGTAATTAGAATATTATTCTCTAGAACAAAATAAACAGCTGGTCCTTGCCCCATCATCTTACACCTTGTCCAGCAGTGAACAAGCCTTGCCTATTTCCCCAAAGCATCTTTTTAGAGTATCACTTTTACATACAAATTGACAGCAAGGAACACCACACAAGATGAAGAATGCCTCTAGCAGAAATGACAGGGACCAAACATAATCAACCAACCGAAAGACTCAAAACAATCAAAGTCAATGCAGAGTTTTGTAGACAGCATTTTAAAAACCCAATAATTAACATCTTCAGAGATAAAAGCAGCTATATTCATGAAAAAAATAATGTAATGCTATAAAAGAACAGAGAATAAAAAGGGCACTTAGTAATGAAGGTATGATAAAAGAAATAAAATAATCTGATAGTCATTTGTCCAATTAGGTTGAAAAAGTCACAGAGAAAGTAGAACAAAAAGATAAAGAGATAGAAAGTAGGACAGACAGGAAAGGAAAACTATCAGTCAAGAAGGTCCACAATCTAAATAACAAATTTCAAAAAATAAAAGATACAGTGGTGGGGGGAGGGGAGAGAAATGATCAAATCTCCCAGAAGAATTCCCACAACTGAAGAACGTGTGTTTCAGGATTGAAAAACTGATCAACAGGAATGAGAAAAGACCCATAACCAAAACACTCGATTATGTCTTAGAACACTGGGAATAAAAAGAAGATCCTAAAGCTTCTGTGACAAAACAAAACAGAAACGAAAGTGAGTTTCATATCAAGAAATTTAGTGACCTGTGAAGCAGAAGGAAATATCATAACGTAGAGTTTCTCAACAATTCTAGAAGCTAAAATATTGTGGTACAAGCCCTCCAATATTCCGAGTGAAAGTTATTTTCAACCTAGAATTCTGTGCTCAGCCAGAATAAAAACAGTTCCAGATGCACACACTCTGTGGGAAAAAAGACCTGGCGGCAACCTCCCTCAAGGAACTATTGGAGGATATGTTCCACAACACGAGGGTATATAATCAAGAAAAAGGAAGATACAAATTCAGGAAATAGGGAACTCATATCAAGAATAAGGAATAAGACCTTTCTAGGACGGATGTGAAGGAGACCCAAGGACATCAGTTGAGGGCTGTGCCTTCCAAATTTTGATGTGCATAGGAATTACCAGGGGATCTTGTTGCAATGCAGATACTGATTCAGTAAGTCTGGGTCAGCCCTGCGATTTGGCGTTTTTAACGAATTCCCTCACGATGCTGAGGTTGCTGGTTCAGGGACTACATTTTGCCTATCGGGGTGTAGAGAAAAAACAGTCCAAATCGTAACAAGAAGACTACGGTACAGAGAGAGACACACACAGACATTTATCTCCTTCTCGGAGATAATCAGGAATGAATTAGTGTAAGCCAATAACCGTACAGTAGGGGAGGGAGAGGGATGGAGGAGAAGGCGGAAAGTATTAACATTTTAAGTAAATACAAATGAAAAAACAAGGAAGGGGCTGTATTGAGGGCAGCCGCATACATCCAACCTTGTCTCTAGTAGACACCTGAAGAGGAAGGTTGGACCACACGAGCGGTTCAGATTTAGTAGTCTGGGGGTCTCTGGAGCGACCCTGGAAGATGCTTCAGAAAGCCTAGATGCGGACCACGCTGACGGAAGACGCACCTTCCCCACGCCCAGCCCGGGAGTGGGTGGGGCCTCAATGCGCCAAGCGCCAGGTCTCAGGGGGCGGGGCATGGGCGGAACCTTTCATCTAAATTGGCGCGCCCGGGCGGTGCTGGGATTCGGATTGGAAGCTTTTGAACCCGGAAGCAGTTGGCGGCGCCCGGAAGCAGTCGCGGATCCGGGAATTCTGCTGGTGCTGCAGCTGCAGAATGGTACGCGGTGGCGGGAAGCGCAGGCCCGGCGGGGAGGGGCCGCAGGTACTGGCAGAAACGCTGTGAGGGCTACGCGGGACGCTTTGGGTGACAGCCAGGGCACCAGGAGGCAGCGCGTTTCATTCACCCAGTGACTATTAAGCTTGCTGTGTGTCCGGGGGCTGCGGTTTGCTGCGGGGACCCTGCGCAGGGTCGCTGTTTTCGTACTCTGTAGGGGTTGGACCAGGAAAGTAGCGCCTCTGCGTCCTCGGCCCTGCTCCTCTTGGCGCATTTCCTGGGGAAACGGATTAAGCCAACCAACGGTTCATTCACTCGCCCTGCCAGATTGAGTGGGAACCGATTACATACCAGACATAGTGTGGGGCGCTGCGGATTCGGGGACAATCCGCCTGCCCCTTCTTGTAGAGCCCCCGGCCTGGCGGGGAGGGGCATAAGCGAAAATGCATTCTAGTGTGACTTTTTTGTTTGGGATTATAACCCTGGTGTGTAGAAAGTGCTGTGGAAACACTGAAGGAGGATTTATTAAGTCCCAGGGGGTGTTAAAGAAGACTTTTAAGACAACTCTTTGAAAATTTGGTTTTGAAGGCAGAGAAGATTCCGAGACGTAAAAGTGTAGGAGATGTTTGGGCATAGCGGAGCGTTCGGCTTGGCTGCAGCCAAGGAAATAGGAAAGTAAGAGGGACCTGATCATAAAAGCGCTACTGAGAGAGGAGGGGAAGAAAGTATATGCATTCTCTCATACTTTACTACGATTTCGGAAGTTATGTAACCACCACAGTAGCAATAAGGGGAATCAGGCAGGAAAGAAGTGCCATTGTGATAACTATAAAGTTTTTAGAAAAATTACTCTGACAGTGTTATAAATCGGACAGGTGAGACATTCCTAGAGGGCTTGATTAACTCTTAAAGGGCCATGGGTATAGGCATTCTTCATATTGGGTCATGCATTCTAGGAGTACCAGGGTAAAGGAAAAGTGCAGCCTCTGAAGGGGACAGCTGTCCTAAATACTAGTTGTTAGGGATATGGAGATGCTGAACTAGTGTGTGAGTTAAGGCACAGCTGAAAACATTCTCTTTGAAGATGCAGTGAAGAACTGCTTTGGTGGAGTGATACGCTTAACGAGACATACCATACCAGAAATATTGAGTCTATAGTGACTATAGCCATAATGGTCAGTATTTGCGTATTGTGTGCTAGGACTATTCTGTGTATTTTTACATATAATAACTTGTTCCTTGTGACAACCCTATGTAGAGGTACTGTATGCCCTTTTTGCAGATAAGAAAACAAGGCACAGAGAGGTTAAGTAACTTGCCTAAGGTTGGAAATCAGTAGAGTCAGAGTCAACCCAGGCAACCTAAATGTTATGCAAAATTGCCTTTCATAAAGGCAGATTAAGCCTTTTCGAACATCTTAAGTTGGAGCCAGTGTTTGAAATTCTGACCAAAGACAGTTACAGGGCTTAATATGTTCCTGCTGTTCTATATTTGCAGTTGGAGAAGCAACATAATGAGGTGATGAAGAATCTGCTGTGGAGTCGGATTTAAACCTGAGTTTAAATCGCTTCTCTTCCCCTTCCTAGTTAGGGACATAGGGAAGTTAACCTCAGTTTCCTCAGCTGCAAGATGAGGTTAATAGTATCTAGTGCATGAGATAGTTGAGGATTAAATGAGTTAATCCACAGAAGGTGCTTAGAACAGTGAAACAGCACAAAATAAGTTTTCAGTAATTCTTACTACTTGTTTTTACTATTATATTATCTTTACTATTACTATTTGCTATTATTGATACTCACTTTTGATACTCATTTTTCAACAGCCTTTTTGTTCAATGTAATTCGTTAAGTCAGATGCATTATAATCCTTAGCATAATAAACTGTTACCATTGTTCAAATCATGATCGTTTTTGACCTTATTTGTGTTAAGTAATATAACAAACACCCGTGAACCCATTGCCCAACCCCAAAACTGAGACAGACAATGGCTCTACATCTACACGTGTTCCTCCCCTAGCCTTTAAGCCTTCTTCCTGTCACTCATGTTCAGTGTAGCTATCCTGAATTTTGTTTTCCCTTGCCTTTTAAGAATAGGCTTATCTCCTATGAGTGTATACCTAAACAATGTTTATTTTTTAGTTTTTTAACTTCATAAAAAGGCTATCATGCTGGATATAATCAAGAACTTTTTTCCTCATTAAAAATATTTAATATAGATTGGTTCATATAGTGTAGCCATACGATAACCATTCGGCAAATGAAAGAATGGTTCCAGGACTCCCACACATCCCAAAATCCAAGCATACCCAAGTTCCAAAGTTGGTCCTGTGGAACCCGAGTATACAAAATGTTGGCCCTCTCTATAAGTGGATTTCACATCCCAAGAATACTGTGTTTTTTTAATTTGCATTTGGTTGGGAAAAAAATTCATATATAATTGGGTCCACAAAATTCAAACCCTTGTTGCTGAAGAGTCAACTGTAATATCAGGTGTAATAGTCTTGTTTGGAAGCCTTATAACTATTCTCCTACCAGTAGGTATTTCATTTGTTCTGTTTTGTTTGCTCTTGGAATCATCGCCATCATGACCATTTTTGTGTCACCTGATTCATCAATACATTTTGTAGACGTTGAACGATATCTAACATAACATTAATAAACTTCAGTCTACTGGGAAAATTGGACAATATAAATATGAGAAATGTCTAGCTGAGAATTTCTCAACTTTAGCACTGTTGACATTTGGGCCAGTAGTCTTTGTTGAGGGTGCCTATGCTGGGCATTGTAAGATGTTGAGCATCCCTGGCCTCTGTCCCACTAGATGCCACTAGTACCCTTCTTCCAATTCATTACAACTACATAGAGCTCCAAATGTCCCCTGTGGGGCAAAATCACCACCAGTGGAGAACCACTGCTCTAAATAGAAAGAATGAAAAGGAAAGAATCCAAAAAGAGTCTGGGTTCCTAGAAAGAAAAACTGATTGCTTCTTAGAAAACTAAACATGTGTAACCTCCAGTTATGTATATTATCTTTAAAGAAATTTATCAAATATCTAATAGGCATTATAAAACCTAGCATACTGAACCTATATTGCAGTGGTGCTAGCGATGAGTATTGTAACCTAATCCTGGCATTAAAAGGTCTTTTCTGAAATAATTGGATTTTTGGCCTGGAGTTTAGTGCTATTCTGCTAACTTTGTTAGGAACTGTAGATGTTTAACATAGTTAAAGAGAATGTTTAACCTTCCCTCTTTATTTGGAAAATCAAAAGGGAGGTGTCTGTTTTTATGGCTTACCCAGCCATAAAATTGTAGTGATTAGTTTTAATTAAAAGTGTAGTGATTGTAGTGAATAGTTCAGACACAGCTCTGGATGTTGCTGAAGAAATAGCTTTTTAAATGATAGATTACTTATATCCAGTTACTTCTGTTTTCTGGTGTAATCAATGAATCTGCTTAAAAGACTCACATGTTTAACCAAAAGAGGGCAAGTAGCCTTTCTTTATTCCTCTCTTCCTGCTAGTACCTTATTACCTTTTTGTTTTTTGTGGTTTCCATTATTTTAGAAAAATATATTTAAAGACTTGCTGTGTGGATTCCTCTTAACCATGTAAACTATTCTTTTTTTCTGTGCCCAAAGGAATTCCCAGATTTTACTCAAATACTATTTAGAGAGTTTTAAGGAAAACACATATACTATCTCATAGAGTTGGGTAAACAAGAGTGAGTGATGTTATGCAAGGAGAGTTACTAAAATTACTAAAGATAATTTGGAGAAATAAAGTTTTGTGTGCCAATTTTCAGAGTGAAAACACAGTTGATATGAAGAAAAGTAAATTTTGTGAAGCTGATGTCTCCAGTGACCTTCGAAAAGAAGTAGAAAATCATTATAAGCTCTCTTTACCTGAAGATTTCTATCACTTCTGGAAGTTCTGTGAAGAACTTGATCCTGAAAAGCCAGCTGGTGAGTTGCTCTGGAATCATTTTTGTATATATGGAAAGAGTAATAGGAAACAGGCTGGGTATGGTGGCTTACACTCTGTAATCTCAGCTGAGGCAGGAGGATTGCCTGAGGCCAGGAGTTTGAGACCTGCATTAACATAGCAAGACCTCTTTACTGCAAAACAAATTGAAAAAAAAAAAAAAAAAGAATCTAGGCATGATTGCCTGTTCCTATAGTCCTAGCTACTTGGGAGACTGAAATGGGAGGATCCTTCCTTGAGCCCAGTAGTTTGAGGTTGAAGTGAGCTATGATCACTCCAGCCTCAGTGACAGAGCAAGACCCTGTCTCTAGAGAATATATTAATTGGCCAGGCATGGTGGATCACACCTTTAATCCTAGCACTTTGGAAGGTTGGGATCTCCCATCGCTTGGCAGACAGATCATTTGGGCTCGGGAGTTTGAGACAGCCTGGGCAACACAGTGAAACCCTGTCTCTACTAAAAATACGAAACTTAGCTGGGCGCGGTGGCACACCCCTGTAGTCCCAGCTACTCGGGAAGATGAAGTATGATCATCCCTTGAACTGCGGAGGCAGAGGCTGCAGTGAGCTGAGATCATACCACTGCACTCTAGCCTGGGCAACAGCAAAACCCTGTCTGAAAAAAAGAAAAAAAAAAAATATATGTATATATATATATAAATTATTTAAAAACATAACCAAGGATATAAACAGTTCATAGAAAAGGAATGTTTTCCAAGATGTTTCTAGTAAGAAAATATAGTAAATGTAGATTAATGCTATAGTAATGCCACTGTCACCTAGTTTATTGGCAAAGGTAAATAATTTCATCACATTCTGGGGGAATGTGAAGGAAAGTAAGCACTTTCATATGTTGCAGGAGTTTGAGTTAACGGTTCTGCTTCCAAGAACTTGTCTTATGGATTAGATAAACTAAGAATTATGTTTGAGGATATTTACTTAAACAAAAAATGCGAAATGGCTTAAATACCTACAAATAACACAACTATTCAATAGGTCTTCATTGTTTTAAAAGAATGAAGCATATTTTTAGGAAATAATAAACTATCATGCCTGAAATATGTTAAGTGAAAAAGAAGAGTGTATATAGAATATACTACCATTAGTATTTTTTTAAAAGGGGGAGGGGGAGCACAAACATATCCCTGTGTGCTTTTCTATGTGCTTGCTTTGTCTCTGAAAGGAAAAAAACTATTAATGGGCTGTGATCATTACTTTGCACTATATACCCTTTTGTATCGTTTAAATTTTTTAACTAGTAAGCAGTGTCATACACTCTTGATGGAAAACTGGTAAGCAGTGTCATACACTCTTGATGGAAAACTGGTAAGCAGTGTCATACACTATTGATGGAAATGTACATTGATACATATTCTGAATTTTCCCAGAACAGAACTGTGTATAGTTTCTTTAAAAATAGCCATGTCCGGGCCGGGCGCGGTGGCTCAAGCCTGTAATCCCAGCACTTTGGGAGGCCGAGGCGGGTGGATCACGAGGTCAAGAGATCGAGACCATCCTGGTCAACATGGTGAAACCCCGTCTCTACTAAAAATACAAAAAATTAGCTGGGCATGGTGGTGCGTGCCTGTAATCCCAGCTACTCAGGAGGCTGAGGTAGGAGAATTGCCTGAACCCAGGAGGTGGAGGTTGCGGTGAGCCAAGATCGTGCCATTGCACTCCAGCCTGGGTAACATGAGTGAAACTCCGTCTCAAAAAAAAAAATAGCCATGTCCGTGTACAAACATTAGCAAAGATATTCACTGAAACATTTTTAGAACAACAAAAAAAATAGTAAATCTCCATCAGTAAGATAATAGATGGTTACCTCTTTATAATGCAGTATCATGCCCTGTTAAAAAAATCATGTAAAATAACATTGAATAACATGGAAAAATATTCAGAAAATTTAAGTGGGACATCAGGATGGAGGACAAAGGCAGATTACAAAACAACCCTTCCCAGTTTGTTACATATTTGTATCTGTTCATGGGGGTGGAGAGTATGGAAATTTGTTAGTGTATACTAGACTATTAACTGTGTTATTTTTGGGTAATGGGATGGATGGCTTTAGTTTTCTTGTTGCTTTATAATTTAGTGTATGCTCTCTTAAGCTGCAGTTGAGCTGAACTATTTTTCCCGTCAAACTATCTCCATCCTTCTATTCATGTTATTCCAGGAATTTTTTTGCTTCCTTCATTTTTGCCTCCTTATAAAACTGGGTCCTGCCTGGAGTGCTCTTTTTCTTAGAAGCAGCAAGGATCCATTTGAAGTTATACATTGTATATTTGCACAGACTTCATGTCTTTGTGGTTTATTAACACTCCCTGTCTGTGATCTGTGAATAGAGAAGGAAGATGGAATCATCTAGGGTTGGGGTTGGCCAAATAGACTGTCAGAGAATCGGGAATCTGGTGCGATTAGCTGAGGTAGAGGAAAGAGTGATAGAAATGTTTTTTACTCTTTTTGTTTTGTTTTGAGACAAAGTCTCACCCTGTCACTCAGACTGGAGTGCAATGGCGTGATCTCATTTCACTGCAAGCTCTGCCTCCCTGGTTCAAGTGATTGTTGTACCTCAGCCTCCCAAGTAGCTGGGATTACAGGCGTGAGCCACCATACCTGGCTAATTTTTGTATTTTTAGGTTTTGCCATGTTGGCCATGCTGATCTCGAACTCCTGAACTCAGGTGATCAGCCTGCTTCAGCCTCCCAGAGCGCTGGGATTACAGGTGTGAGCCACCACACCTGACCTGTTGCTTACTGCTCTTAATCCACACATTTTTGCTATAACCTGTATGTACTACAAGTACACCTGTGGTGTACTACAAGTATTTGAGGCTAACTGCAGTGTGGTAATGGGCCTAGAGGAATACAGGCCAGTCTTGCTTTGGCTGAAATAAAACAGTAGGAATGTTTGAAATGTTAAACTAATTCAGTGGTAAATTTCAGAGGAAATCCTAAATGTAAATGCCACTTTTCTGTTACTCTGACTTCTTTTCCATTGAATGTTTGTAACTGACATCTTCACACACAACTCAAGATTTTCTTTTACTTTAGAAACATTTTAAAGGCAATTGCTTAGAAATAGTTTACTAACTAAAAGCATTATTTCCTGTCTCCAGAAAGTCTTGACTAAATGTTTTTTCTTTTATAGATTCACTTTCTGCAAGTCTTGGACTTCAGTTAGTTGGTCCTTATGATATCCTTGCTGGAAAACATAAAATGAAGAAAAAATCAACAGGCCCAAATTTTAACCTTCATTGGAGGTTTTACTATGATCCTCCTGAGTTTCAGACCATTATTATTGGAGATAATGAAACTCAGTACCACATGGGGTATTTCAGGTAAAGGTCTTTTCTTCGCCTCTAAACTATAGCTGCTGTCCTGCTAATGAGGATAAATAGTGATTCACTAGCCTCACTCAAGGTGAAAGGCATATTTTCCCCTGTTGGTGGATATATGAGCCGTCTGTTCTTGCTCTTACCATTTTCACCTTCACTAGGATGGGTAAACTCTTTAGGTTTAATCTCGTTAGTTTTTCCTTTCCTTCTAAATTTTTTTCCCTTTTGGGTTCAGAAGAGCTCTTTTGGCCCGATAAAAATAACTTAGAACAGCTGTTATGACTTGTGCTTAATAAGCCATGTGTTTCCAAGTGCCAGAGTGGCAACTAGGAGCGAAGAGTGGTCTCTGGAGTCACGTTGGTCCTCTTGTTTGTGTGACTGCGTATCATTAGTGACTGTGACTTTCTGTGACTCAGTTTCCTGTCTTGTAGCAATAGGGATAATAATTGTACGTGCCTGATAGGAATATCATCAGAATTAAGTGAATTCATGCAAAATACTTAGAAGGTTAAAAAACTCCAGGAGGAAAATACCTTGTCTGCTTGTACCAGTGGAGATGCTGTCCTTTAAAGTGAAGGTTAAGTGTAATGTAATAGAAGAAACGTGCCCAGGAAGAAGTACTGTAGTGCGATAGAATGTACATGGGGCTAGGAATTGAATTATACCTAACTTACAAGGACCTTGGCCGAGTAATTGAACCTCTCAGTATTTGTTTCCTCAATTTTAAAATGATTTGGTTATATATGTGAATATGATCTTTTCATCTCTAATGTTTTACAATCTTTTCTCTTGTTTTTTCTTTTTTCTTTTTTTGTGTTTGAGTATAAAAGCAACTAGGTCCTAAGAATCTTAGTTTTAGGTTCTATAATATAAGATTTGTCATAGATATTCCTAAGAAACTTGGAGCTTAAAACTGGCAAATATGTTTCAATTAAAAAAATAAAAGACCTTATAAACGAGACCTTAAAAAAAGGAAAAAAGGTCTAAATTGTTGTCTGTAGACCTAAAATTCCACTTGCCTGATAATATAAATTATGGGCAGCTAAATTTTTTGTCTTTTGCTTAAATAGGGATTCTCCTGATGAACTTCCTGTATATGTTGGTATAAATGAAGCCAAGAAAAATTGTATAATCGTTCCAAATGGAGACAATGTATTTGCTGCAGTCAAGTAAGAATATTTTAATTTCTCTTATGTTTGTTTACAATTTTTATATTATATTAGTCCATTACAATGGGAGTGTGAGGGGGCTGGGCACAGTGGCTCACACCTGTAATTCCAGCACTTTGGGAGGCCAAGGTGGGTGGATTGCTAAGGTCAGGAGTTTGAGACCAGCCTGGCCAACATGGAGAAACCTCATCTCTACTTAAAAATACAAAAATTAGCCGGGGGCATGGTGGCAAACACCTGTAATCCCAGCTACTCGGGAGGCTAAGGCGGGAGAATCACTGGAACGCGGTAGTTGGAGGTTGCAGTGAGCAGTGATTGTGCCACTGCACTCCAGCCTGAGCGACAAAATAAGACTCCCATCTCAAAAAAAAAAAAACAAAAAACAGGTTTGAGGCAAGCCCATAATTGTAGATTTCTAGAGATAATTTTCATGACTTTTGCAGGTAGTCTTATCTATACTGTTATTTTGTCACTATTCAAAAAATAACACCTCTTAAGTAACTATTTTACTTAATGAAAATAACACTTGACCTCAGATGTTTCATGGCAAAATCAAAAGTTTTTTTAGACATCTGATTTTAAATACTTGTTAAGAGTTCATTACTTGTGTTTAGTTGAAACAGAAAGGTTTAATAAGTGAAAAAGAGATGCTTATAAAATCCTTGGAAGGGATAAGGGAGCAGGTTGAGCTTCCAGGAATGACAGTCGTGTGGCTCACAGTGGATTTTATATCTCTGCCACCATCAGGAAGCTGGGAAATCCGAGAACTGCTGCCACAATGGGTGGCTCTAGGACCATATTATCTTTAGTATAACCTGTGCCAGGTAAATTGATGCCCTACCCTTTGCCTCCCAGCCCCAGTGAAGCTAAGAACCAGGTGCTGGGATCTCAGCTACAGCTGCTGCAGAAGCAGATGCCTCTACAGCTGTGCTCACTGATGGAGATTGTGGAAGCCCAGCCTCCACCTGGTATCTCTTCTGCCTCTGAGATTTCAAAGTATTGCAGCTGCTTGGAAGAAGCTAGGTCCCATGTGGAGCCTAAGCTAGAGTAGTATGGGAAATGCAGTAAACGTTCATCGGGAAGGGATTGGAATAGAGCTGAGTGAGCCAGTCTGTGCTATATCAGCCATAGATGTGATTTGAAGCCATTTCATTTGTCAGTAGCTGTGTAGTTTGCATTGTAATGAAGAAAGCAAACTTCACTTCAGATACAAGTAGACTGTTTTGTTTGGCCTCTTTTAGTATTGTCTCTTTAAAGGGCTTTTGTTCACTGTGATTTGATAATACAAATTTGCAGTAAAGCAAGTTCAAACGAAGTCAACCTAGTACAACCACTAGACTGTGCCATGTACAAACTGGTGTATCTATGGGGCAACTACATTGTAGATATCCAAAAATGTTCTTTCTTTTCTAATACCTCTCAGATTCCTATAAAACATTGTTTGGTATTTGTAATTTATAAGTTCTTCTAAACTCTTTGGATTTATCATTCTATTTAAATTGGTGCCATCTTTATTAGAAACTGTTGTTATTTACTTGCTTATTGTCTGTCTTTTGCACTAGCATGCAGGTTCCATGAGGGCAGAGACTTTGTTGTGTGCACAGTATCTGTTCCATAGTAGATCCTTCATAAGTATTCTACAAATACCTTGGCATGTAAAAACATCTAATTTATTCAGGCTGGGCAACATAGTAAGACTGTCTCTTTTTAAAAAGCAAACCTAATTTTTTATTTGTATTAGTCATGTTTGTCTTAATAGAAATCTTTTTTTAAAAGAAAGATAACATAATAGTGGTCATCTAACATAACCTAAGACTCTTCTGGTATCTTTTTTTTTTTTTTTTTTTTTACTAATTGGAGAACACAATGAAAAAGAAGAAAAAAATACATGGTGATAATATAATTTAGGTGATTATCAACAAGTAAGTATTTGAGGAACTACCTCCAATAATTTATCAAACACGGGTAAAAAATTACTTGAGATATAACTATGTTAGTACTTTTAAAGTATTATAACGGTTTTAGTTTTTTTGGGTACCACTTCCTTAAATCAGCTAATCAGAACACTTAATTTCTTTATATATTTTAAAATTTATTTTTATGGCAGAGGGAGTAAGGTCTTTCAAGGCAGACCTCTGATCTCCAAATGTTATGCCCAGAGAAAGAATTGTTTCTGCAAGATTTAATAGTAACTGAAGACATGCAAATTAAGCCAGCAAAGATTTTTAAAGGTTAAAGAATGGTAATAACCAATGATGGTTAGGGTATAAGAACCCTTACTGATGTGTTAATTGGTGAAACCTTTGTAGAAAGCAGTTTGAAAAATGTTTAAACAACCATAGTCTAAGATTTCTTAATAGATTACATTACCAGGTACTGCGTGAAGTACACATTTATACCCTTATGTTTGCAATTCCACTTCTAGCTCTTCATCAAACATATTTTGGACAGGTACAGAAATACGTGTGTTTATTACAGATAGTTTATTCAATGAAAAAATGGCAACAACATATCCAGCAGTGTAGAAGATTAGGTAAATATAAACTATCCATATGCTATAATACCTTAGTATTGATTGGTTGAATTTATTATGAAGTGAGCAAATAACAATAGTGTAGAGTGATTCTATTTCATACTGTCTAAAGCATATGGAAATAAACGTACTCAATTTTAAAATATCCTTGAACAGCAAAGTTAGGAATGATTTTTTTTCCTTCTACCTTTTTTTTCTTCCCTAAAATAACTGGGGCAAATAGTTTTGACCTTGGGTCAGATACTCTTAGGGTCAAAACTATTTGTGATTAAAATGTTTTTGCATCAATGGCACAAAGGTAATAGTGGGTAATACTGTTGTCACCTTGGCAGGAATCAAGATAGTGCCACTAGAATAGCAGCAGTCATTGCATTATTTACAACAGTAACATGTAAATGTGTTTAAGAATGTTTGTGATGGAGCCAGGCATGGTGGCTACTCAGGATGTTGAGGTGGGGGCATTGCTTGAGCCCAGGAGTTCAAGTTTATCCTGAGCAACATGGCAAGACCCTGTCCCTGAAAAAAATGTCAGTGATGGAGTATACATGTATTAGATGTCTGCCATTGAGCATATATCTTTAACATTCTGTGATGAAATAGGAAATACATAGAAAGTATCTCTCATACTGAAGTACTGTGGTTTGTCTCAAGGGAAAAAGCACTTGTGTGATTGGGTTTTGAGATGAACTTTTTCCCACTTGTAGAAAGAGTGACTCTGACAAACTGGTTATTTGGATCTAGATACTGGCAGAAATTTTCTGAAATGAACCAAAGAAAACAACTGACTATATTTTTTGCGAGTGATAAAATTCAAGGTTTCGAACAAAAATTAGATTGAGAAACTTGTAATACCACTGTGAGCTCAATAGCTTTTTTTTTTTCCTAATGTTATGTGATGGGGTGAATTTGATATGTAAGTTTCAACTTTTACGTCTAATAACTTAGCCACTATTTCCAAAGGGCCATTGCATGATGCCATGTAACATGCTTGGGAATAAATTTGTTTGCATTCAACACATTTTAATGGATTTAAAGTCAAAGCATAAAATCTTCATGTTCATGGCTATAGCTTCAGTTGTACATTGCACCTTATCTTTAAGCATCACATAGCAAAGTGTTAGAGTAGGTTTAGACAGAGACAAACTCAGAGATAGTCATAATAATGTGATATGTATAGGAAGGCAACTACCAAGTGCCTTCAATAGTGGTGGAGGTAAAAGAGGATATTTTATGTGGGCTTTGATGGGTGCCTAAGAACTTACTAGAAAGAGTAGGAAGAAGGATGTTTTAGGTAAGGGAGCACTATGTGTGTGAAAGTAATAAAACTTAAAACTTGACTAATCCCAGTTTTGCAAATATCTTTTAAATCTTTATTGTAGACATTAGAGTGCTAATATAAATTTGAACCATATTTTCTCTTTCTGTGACTGGCAGTTTTTATTAATACTGCTTTTCTCTTATTTGAAGAAAATTGTTAGGGATTTCGAGAGAAGTGTTGGTAATTATTCTGTGGACTTATTCTTGCATGGAATTTGACATTTTTAACTTGGCTCAACTTCCAAAGGTCTTTGTACTTAGTACAGTGGCCTGCAATATAATGAGGACTTTTACTTCTTTTTCAGATTATTTTTGATGAAAAAACTTAAAGAAGTAACGGATAAAAAGAAAACCAATCTCTTGAAAAACATAGATGAAAAACTCACAGAAACAGCCAGAGAACTGGGGTACTCACTGGAACAGAGAACCATGAAGATGAAACAGAGAGATAAGAAAGTATGACTTCAATCTGTTGGCCTCTGTTTCGCTGTTTAGCAGATGTTTTTCTCCTCTTGATTCCTTCTCATCTCTACCCTTCTCTTTAGCCCTGTCTTTAAGAGCTGGATGCAGTCTCTCCAGGGGGCTAGGAGGATGGCACTGAAATGGGTCAGATGGCTCCTTTGGCTTGATACACTGGTTGAATTGCATAACTAGTGATATCACTGCTGTGGTTGAATAACTCATGCTAGTATTTACCATTCTTTTAATCTTGTTTTGTCAGTTAATCACTTCATAAAGTTAACTGAAAGCTGCTTTGTACATAATGAAATTTACATACATACTTTTTCTCCAGTAAACATGTACATAAGCAGTGCTTCCTTCTTTTTCCTTAATCCCATCATTTCCTTTTGCATCTCTCCTAATGTCTGCAGCGTGAGGGGAGTATTTTGTAAAGAAGAAAATACTTCGTAGTGTTGGATTCTTTTGGTTTTTCAGCTGTAGATTTCAGGGTAACTTAATGACAAGCTGGAAGATTTCTGCTTTGGAGTAAATGAGAATTCTGAAGGAGTTTGTTCTTAGGGCCTGTGGGGAAAAACAACATATGTCACTGGAATGAGGGTTCCCCAGTCTTCTTCAGCTTCTCACTATTTGTCGGCCTTTGCTGGTTCATCTGAATGTTCTAAGCGAAAAGGAGAACTTGCTATTCCTTTGTAAACTAGCACTGGTAATGAAGTACCTTGCTGGTTCATCTGAATGTTCAAAGCTAAAGAGAGAACTTCTTTTTCCTTAATAAAATAGCACTGGTAATGAAGTACCTTAGTGTACTTAGGTATTAAAATCCTACTAAAGTTTCTACTCTGACCTTGATTCAGCAACAAGGGTGATATTCTGATAAGTTCTAGGCACTTTTTCTTTAGTCCTATAGACTGGAAAGTTTCTTAAAACATACATTTTAATGAAACTCATTATAACATTGCATTTTAAATATTAAGATTTTTTATTGCCATTTACCTTTCTGGTTATCATAGGAAACTTGTCCCACCTTGTGACCAGGAGAGAAGGGTAGCATTTGTAGTCTAGTCTAGTTAATATATCCCTAATTTTTTTTTTTTTTTTGGAAGTTTTTGTATTTTATGTTGTGTTATTTAATTTTAATTTTTATCTTTTTATTTTTTTTTCCCATAGGCTTTTGGGGTACAGGTAGTATTTGGTTGCATGAGTAAGTTTTTTTTTTAAATTATACTTTAAGTTCTGGGGTTCGTGTGCAGAGCATGCAGGTTGGTTACATAGGTATACATGTGCCATAGGGGTTTGCTGCATCCATCACTCGACCACCTACATTAGATATTTCTCCTAATGCTATCCCTCTTTTAGCCTCCTACCCCCTAACAGCCTCAGTGTGTGATCTTCCCCTCCCTGTGTCCATGTGTTTTCATTGTTAACTCCCACCGATGAGTAAGAACATGGGGTGTTTGGTTTTCAGTTCCAGTGTTAATTTGCTGAGAGTGATGGTTTCCAGCTTCATCCATGTCTCTGCAAAGTACATTAACTCATCCTTTTTATGGCTGCATAGTATTCCATGGTGTATATGTGCCACATTTTTTTAATGCAGTCTATCATTGGTGGGCATTTGGGTTGGTGGTTTGGTTCCATCTTTGCTATTGTGAACAGTGCTGCCAGTAAACATATGTGCACGTTTCTTTATAATAGAATGATTTATACTTCTTTGGACATATTACCCAGTAATGGGATTGCTGGGTCAAATAGTATTTCTGGTTCTAGATCCTTGAGGAATTGCCACACTGTCTTCCACAGTGGTTGAGCTAATTTATACTCCCACCAACAGTGTAAAAGCGTTCCTATCTCTCCACATCCTCTCCAGCATTTGTTGTCTCTTGACTTTTTAATGATTGCCATTCTAACTGGCATGAGATGGTGTCTCATTGTGGTTTTCATTTGCATTTCTCTAATGACCAATGATGATGAGCTTTTTTTCATATGTCCGTTGGCGGCATAAATGTCTTTTGAGAAGTGTCTGTTCATATCCTTTGCCCACTTTTTGATGGGATTGTTTTTTTCTTGTAGATTTGTTTAAGTTCTTGGTAGATTCTGAATATTAGCCCTTTCAGATGGATATTTTGCAAAAATTTTCTCCTATTCTGTAGGTTGCATGTTCACTCTGATGATAGTTTCTTTTGCTGTGCAAAAGCTCTTTAGTTTAATTACATCCCATTTGTCTATTTTGGTTTTTGTTCCCATTGCTTTTGGTGTTTTAGTCATGAAGTCTTTGCCCATGCCTATGTCCTGAATGGTAATGCCTAGATTTTCTTCTAGGGTTTTTATTGTTTTAGGTCTTATATTTAAATCTTTAATCCATCTTGAGCTAATTTTTGTGTAAGGTGTAAGGAAGGTATCCAGTTTCAGCTTTCTGCATATGGCTAGCCAGTTTTCCCAACACCATTTATTAAATAGAGAATCCTTTCCCCATTGCTTGTTTTTGTCAAGTTTGTCAAAGATCACATGATTGTAGATATGTGTCATTATTTCTGAGGCCTCTGTTCTGTTTTGTTGGTCTATATGTCTGTTTTGGTATTCGTACCATGCTGTTTTGATTACTGTAGCCTTTTGGTATATTTGAAGTCAGGTAGTGTGATGCCTCCAGCTTTGTTCTTTTTGCTTAGGATTGTCTTGACTATGCAGGCTCTTTTTTGGTTCCTTATGAAACTTAAAGTAATTTTTTCCAGTTTTGTGGAGAAAGTCAATGGTAGTTTGATGGGGATAGCATTGAATCTATAAATTACTTTGGGCAGTATGGCCATTTTCACAATGTTGATTCTTCCTAACCATAAGCATGGAATGGTTTTCCATTTGTTTGTGTCCTCTCTTATTTCCTTGAGCAATTGTTTATAGTTCATCTTAAGAGGTCCTTCACATCCCTTGTAAATTGTATTTCTGGGTATTTTATTCTCTTTGTAGCAGTTGTGAATGGAAGTGCTCTCATGATTTGGCTCTCTATTATTGGTTTATAGGAATGCTTGTGATTTTTGCTTATTGGTTTGTATCCTGAGACTTTGCTGAAGTTGCTTATCAGCATAAGGAGATTTTGGGCTGAGGCAGTAGGGTCTTCTAAATATAAAATCATGTCATCTGTAAATAGAGATAATTTGACCCTCTCTTTTTCTAATTGAATACACTTTCTTTCTTTCTCGTGCCTGATTGCCCTGCCCAGAACTTCCAATACTGTGTTGAATAGCAGTGGTGAGAGAGGGCATCCTTGTCTTGTGACTGTTTTCAAAGGGAATGCTTCCAGTTTTTGCCCATTCAGTGTGATATTGGCTGTAGTTTTGGCATAAATGACTCTTACTATATTGAGATATGTTCCATCAGTGCCTAGTTTATTGAGTTCTTAGCATGAAGGGCTTTGGAATTTTGTCAAAGACCTTCTCTGCATCTATTGAGATAATCGTGGTTTTTGTCATTGGTTCTATTTATGTGATAGATTATGTTTATTTGCGTATGTTGAACCAGCATTGCATCCCAGGGGCGAAGCCCACTTGATCATGGTGGATAAGCTTTTCGATGTGCTGCTGAATTCAGTTTTCCGGCATTTATTGAGGATTTTTTCATCAATGTTCATCAGGGATATTGGCCTGAAATTTTCTTTTTTAGTTGTGTCTCTGCCAGGTTTTGATATCAGGATGATGTTGGTTTCATAAAATGAGTTAGGGCAGATTCCCTCTTTCTCTGTTGTTTGGAATAGTTTCAGAAGGAATGGTAGCAGCTCCTCTTTGTACCTCTGGTAGAATCTGGCTGTGAACCTGTCTGGTCCTGGGCTTTTTTTGGTTGGTATTACTGCTTCAATTTCAGAACTTGTTATTGGTCTATTCAGGGATTCAACTTCTTCCTAATTTAGTCTTAGGAGGGTGTAAGTGTCCAGGAATGTATTCATTTCTTCTAGATTTTCTGGTTTATTTGCATAGAGTTGTTTAAAGTATTCTCTGATGGTAGTTTGTATTTCTGTAGGATTGGTGGTGATATCCCTTTTATCATTTTTTTATTGCATCTATTTGATTCTTCTCTCTTTTCTTTATTAGTCTGGCTAGTGGTCTGTCTATTTTGTTGATCTTTTCAAAAAACCACCTTCTAGATACATTTTTTTTTTTAAGGGTTTTTTGTGTATCTCCCTCAGTTCTGATTTGATCTTAGTTATTTCTTGTCTTCTGCTAGCTTTTGATTTTGTTTGCTCTTGCTCCTCTAGTTCTTTTAATTGTGACATTAGAGTGTCAATTTTAGATCTTCCCTGCTTTCTCTTGGGGCATTTAGTGCTATAAAATTCCCTCTATACACTGCTTTAAATGTGTCCCAGTGATTTTGGTACGTTGTGTCTTCATTCTCACTGGTTTCAAAGAACATCTTTATTTCTGCCTTGATTTTGTTATTTTTCCAGTAGTCATTCAGGAGCAGAATGTTCAGTTTTCATGTAGCTGTGTGGTTTTGAGTGGGTTTCTTAATCCTGAGTTCTAATTTGATTGCACAGTGGTCTGAGAGAGTTTGTTACAATTTCTGTTCTTTTGCATTTGCTGAGGAGTGTTTTACTTCCAATGATATGGTCTATTTTAGAATAAGTGCTGTATGGTGCTGAGAAGAATATATATTCTGTTGATTTGGAGTGGAGAATTCTGCAGATGTCTACTAGGTCTGCTTGGTCCAGATCTGAGTTCAAGTCCTGAATATCCTTGATTAACTGTCTTGTTGATCTAATACTGACAGTGGGGTGTTAATCTCCCCCTATTATTGTGTGGATTGTGTGGGAGTCTAACTCTCTTTGTGGGTTTCTAAGAACTTGCTTTATGAATCTGGGTGCTCCTATACCAGGTGCATATATATTTAGGATAGTTAGCTCTTCTTGTTGCATTGATCTCTTTACCATTATGTAATGCCCTTCTTTGTCTCTTTTAATCTTTGTTGGTTTAAAATCTGTTTTATCAGAGACTAGGATTGCAACCCCTGCCTTT